AATGATCCATGTCACTCCTTGTTGATTTCACTTCAACCTTGTAATGATCCATCTTGTATACTTTCTAACTCTTCTTCAGATAGTAATTTTACAAGTTTCTTCTACCTTTTTCTATAGAGTCCCACATGATCACATGGCCCATAACCACGCAAGAGGCAGACAAACAGGACTGCAGCTTGAAAGGCAGCTTTACCAACCCGAGATAGTCCTCGATTAGTTCTCCTCTAGCAGATTCAAAATCAAGAAACCAATGGTAGCATGGCGCCGCTAGGTCACCTGAGCCGAATTTCTCAGCATTTTAACCCAATAGCGCGCTGCTCGGAGCCATTTTGAGTATCCATAGCTTAATTGTGTCCCGATCAACAGTAGAAATTAACAAATGGAGAAGGGGAGAAGCTTTATTCAAACGAAATAAACAGAAAACAGGCTCAGCGCTATTGAAGAATACTGTATTCCAAAATCTCGCCGATATAAGTGCGTCCCTTTCACGATCAATAGGTGCTACTGTAATTCTTGTTGAGCCTCAGCAACTGCAGCCTGTCACACACAGTATTGGCAGTGAACAAGGGGGATGACTTTGGACAAACAAATGAAGGAAGCAACAGCTGAAAGGCTCAGCGTGAAGTGGCTACACTATAAATAAGTTAGACTTTCTCTCTCTCTTGTTTTCTGCATCCCAAAAAAACCATTCAAGTTCCCCGGCACAGTCTTCCATCACATCCCCTCCTCCCTCTAACTAATCCCAAGCTAAAGGTAAGAAAGATTTCCGCCTTCTCCGCCCTACCATTGAGTCTTCATCTCTCCATTCCCTCCAGCACCTAATCCAATCGGACCTTTTCTTTCTTCTCTTGCTACAGACCAAGTACAAGGAGTGAAAAATAAATCTCTCACGATGAAGGAATCCATCCGAGTTGAAATTGACCAAGCCCTTGGTGAGTGCTACCGACGCGGCTCTTTCTCGACGCTTGACCCATTTACTGACCTATAATATTTGAAGACCTACTCGAGAGGCACGAGGAGGCCTTGGAACACAGATCGTACCGCAAAGCTGTTCGGGCCGAATCAAAGCAGAATCTTTATGTCGACACCAAATCCAAAGTCATCGCCTTGGAAGAAATGGTCGGCAAGGCTCTTGGCTTCCGAGCTACTGCCATTCACCCAAGGGTTTGTATCCTACTGCTCAAAAACGACAGTGCCCCCATGAAAAACCTCAGCACTCCTCCCGTTCCATCCTCGGATGCACAAGGCCAATTTCCATCCCGACCCTCGAGGCCTCGTGGGGCTCCTGTGGATGATGCTGCTGCTCGCAGATTGAGACAGCTAATTTTTGAACTTGATCTTGTGTTGGAGCCCCCTTGAATTTCCTCATATGACTACTAAAAATTTCCCATTTTCCTGAAACCTCTCTGACTGCATGTAACACATATGATGTACTCCGATTTAAATGTACTCTTTTCCCTATGATTTTTTAACGATGCCATCTCCTTTTCAATGTCCAATTTATACTTTTTCTTTTACTTGGCCATGAGCTTGTTCTGCCTCTCAAATTCCACCGATGTGGCTGAGGCCAGATTCATTGTAGTAGAAGACGGCAGCGCGTGCCTCCCTATCCTTGTCAAACAAATACCCCGTTTGGGGCCTCCGCTGTATGTATGGGAGGCCCTTTTCTGAACCGGAGGTTGACAAAGCTCAATCCAAAAATTCTTTTTTGTAGGTGAGCTTTTATTTTGTGTGTCATTGGCCAAAATTGGATAATGTTGCACAACTTGGCACACATCTGTCCCCTTTTTTAGTACCGCTCTCAAACCCCAAGCTCATCCTCAACCTACCCACAGGAATTGCATTAGATATTCTTGTTGGCCCAACATATCTATCAATTGAGTGTTCAAAAAAGCAAGCTATGAGCTCAGCTTAGTACTTACTTGTAGATCCCAAACTCATTGCTATAGCCGGGGGCGGTAGTGGTTGGGCAAATAGTCCCTCCCTTCTGCAAAGATTTTACGCGCCGTCTCAAATCCAGTGCGTTGTAAAAATTTTGGAAGTTCCTGAACTTATATTATTATCCCAATACCAAAAAATCTTATTTATTCATTCCCTTTTCAAATTCCCGGATTCTGTGCTTCAATTGTGCACAATATAAATAGGCCGGTCTTTCCCTGGCTTGCTGTTTCTAACCAAACCATTCATGCTTTCCGCAGTCTTATGCCTCGCCCCCCTCTAGCTATCTCAGAGATGGATTTCAAAAAGTATTTCTGGTTTATCGCGCTACCATCCAAGCCACACCTCATTTTCCGCTAGCCCTCAGCCTCGATTTTTGTTATTGTATAACGAATGATATACCTCACGGCTTATTATTTTCGCTTTAACCTGTTAATGGTCAATCTTGTGTACTTTCTAACACTTTTTCAGAAAGTAATCCTACAAGTTTCTTCTACCTCTTTCTCTAGAGTCCAAAATGACCACACTGCCCATGACCACGCAGGTGGAAGACAAGCAGCACTGCAGCCTGAAAGGCAGCTTTACTAACAGGAGAGAGTCCTCGATTAGCTCTGCTCACCTAGCGAATTTAGAATCAAGATACCAATGGTAGCATTACGCGGCGAGGTCACTTCAGCCAGATTTCTCCGTATTTTCACTGCATGACGCGCTTCTCAGAGCCTTGTTGAGTATCCGTAGCTTAAGTGTGTCCCGATCAACAGTGGAAGTTGACAAAGGGAGAAGGGGAGAAGCTTTATTCAAATGAAATCAACAGAAAACAGGCTCAGCGCTATTCAAGCATACTGTATTCCAAAATCTCACCGATGTAAGTGCGTCCCTTTCGCGATTAATAGGTGCTACTGTAATTCTTGTTGAGCCTCAGCAACTGCAGCCTGTCCCACACAGTATTGGCAGTGAACAAGGGGAATAGCTTTGGACAAACAAATGAAGGAAGCAGCAGCAGAAAGGCTCCGCGTGAAGTGGCTACACTATAAATAAGTGAGACTTTCTCTCTCTCTCTTGTTTTCTGCATCCAAAAAAACCATTCAAGTTCTCCGGCACAGTCTTCCTCCCCATCCCCTCCTCCCTCTGACTAATCCCAAGCTAAAGGTAAGAAAGATTTCCGCCTTCTCCGCCCTACCATTGAGTCTTCATCTCTCCTTTCCCTCCAGCACCTAATCCAATCGGACCTTTTCTTTCTTCTCTTGCCACAGACCAAGTACAAGGAGTGAAAAATAAATCGCTCACGATGAAGGAATCCATCCGAGTTGAAACTGACCAAGCCCTCGGTGAGTGCTACCGACGCGGCTCTTTCTCGACGCTTTACCCATTTACTGACCTATAATATTTGAAGACTTACTCGAGAGGCACGAGGAGGCCTTGGAACACAGATCGTACCGCAAAGCTGTTCGGGCCGAATCAAAGCAGAATCTGTATGTCGACACCAAGTCCAAAGTCATCGCCTTGGAGGAAATGGTCGGCAAGGCCCTCGGCTTCCGAGCGACTGCCATTCACCCAAGGGTTTGTATCCTACTGCTCAAAAACGACAGGGCCGCCATGAAAAACCTCGGCACTCCTCCCGTTCCATCCTCGGATGCACAAGGCCAATTTCCATCCCGACCATCGAGGGCTCGTGGGGCTCCTGTGGATGATGCTGCTGCTCGCAGATTGAGACAGCTAATTTTTGAACTTGATCTTGTGTTGGAGCCCCCTTGAGTTTGCTCATATGACTATTAAAAATTTCTTCTTTTCCCGAATCCTCTCTGACTGCATGTAACACATATGATGTATTCCCGTTTAAATGGACTCTTCTCCCTATGAATTTTCAACGATGCCATTTGATTTCCTTTTCAATATCCAATTTATACTTTTTCTCTTCCTTGGCCATGGGCTTGTTCTGCCTCTAAGATTCCAGCGATGCGGCTGAGGCCAAATCGATCGCACGTCGAATGAGTCATACAAATACTTCATTTGGGGTCCCTTTTTTACCCGAGACTTTGGTTTGGGATGGATTTTGCGGAAGTTTCAGATGTTCATGAACTGAATGATAATCGAGCATTTCTGTTGCAGTCTCCTGGGTGTCAGCATCTCAGAGCCAGCCAATAACCTTCGAGTCTTTGAAGTCAATTACCCTTGTCACATCCATTCATCAAACAAATGAAGAAGTATGAAATGTTCTGGCGATACTTTGAAGTCTTATGATAGCTCCTCCTTCTTGATTTGCCTTGGGCCTCTGGATTACCCAAAACTGGAGACGAGGCTAGAGCCCCCATCTCCCGCAAGTCCCATCGCCTGACAGCTTATTGCCACACAACCTCACAGTCTGCGAGGCATCTTACCCTCCCGCAGACAGTCCGGATTCATTAGTTACCCTCCGCTTGAGACAGTATTGAATTCAAGATTCTCAAGCCCTTGATCACGGGTCGCGGATAAAAAGCAGATTGAAATTAAGTTAAGAACGGTTTATTTTTGTGTCTATCCTGATGGCGCCCCGGTGAAAGTTTTTTCAAGATTCAATAGTCGCAGCGCTTCCCATTCATCCGTAACGATGAACAAGTGGAACATATTTAGTGAGAGCTTTCAATGATTTTAGACTCTCAAATATTTAATTCATTTGTATCCTTATGTTGTGATCATAACGGAGTTCAGAAAGTCTTGTAATGAAGGGGTAGAATTGATAAAAATGTAAAACTTGCAGTTTTATGAGGGGCTATCCCTTGAAAAATTCAGATCCTAAAAAACCTAAAATGCAATTAATATATAATATTTGTAGAACTTCTTTGGTTGCTTCCAAAAAAATAGCAAGGCTCCAAGATTGTAGGAATTTTTGAATTGCACGCGTTGTGATACGAGTAGCGTCCATTTTTTGACTGAACGCAAGAAAAAGGCAGAAAGATTGCAACATACAACCAAAAAATTGATAAATAGGGGCACTGATCAATCGATCTCATAAACAAAAGTATTCAAATGATGTCAATCTTTTTTTCTATTTTGCAAGATAGCTTCACCTTGTATCGGATGGAATGCTGCGGCTTTGCGCCCTCGCCGGGTTCAAGGACGTTGGGATTGCTCGGTTAAGTTTGCAGGCCGGGTCGAGCAGGCTTGTGCCTGCGAGGAGGGATGCTTACGTAATCCGGCTCTTGATAGCAGACCACCAGCGCAAGCTTGGAACGTGCCCCATCGAAAAACTCACCACAAGAACCAAAAAAAGTAGCCCATCGACTCTGCTAGTCCGATCTACTTATCGTTATCATCCGGATACCCAGCAGCAAGCGATGGCCCATCTCACCACCAATGCCTTCACCCGTCGGTTCCTCACAGCTACCGCTCGTCCGACAGTCAACAAGCTCAACCTCTCATCTACTCGGGCCGCTCTCTCCTCCCTGGCCCAATACCCTCAGCATCGATCACCAAAAGCTCAGTCCTCCCTTAAGTCTGCCGCTCCCTTGAGTACATTGAACTCTCGTCAAATTCAAACTGCTGCCGACTCTTCCGCCGTCAATCCCGATAAAATACCCTCGGACGATGGCGAGAAATTCAAGATCACATTGGACGCTGGTAAGTCTCCTTCTGTCTGGGCCATTTGACAATTCAGTCCCAAATCCATCCCAGAAATCAATCAAACCAGCCGTTTCTTTTCTTACTAAATCTTTTTTTCTTCGAATTGTCGTCCAGATTACTATCAGACCTACAAGTGCGATGCTCCCTCGTTGGAGTTAGAGATGACCAAGGCGGAGCTGGTGCAGATGTACCGATGGATGGTGACCATGCGAAGGATGGAGATGGCTGCGGATGCGCTGTACAAGCAGAAGATGATCCGAGGGTTTTGTCATCTTGCGATTGGTCAGGAGGCCGTCAGTGTTGGGATGGAGTCAGCCAGTTGAGTCGATGTGCCTTCCAATCTCTGCCGAATTTCCGGATCATGACATCATTGATCGGCGAGGGTCTGTCTGAGTCATACTAACACAGCAGTGTTGATCGTATCATTGCTTAGTCAAGCCCGACGATAAGGTCATCACGGCTTACAGATGCCATCCGTTTGCGGTCTTGAGGGGAGGAACGATCAAAGGGGTGATTGCCGAGCTATTAGGTAAGCCACCACTTTGGTCATCTGGATAGGCTGAGTCAGCCCCTCAATCATCGGGCTGATCACGTGCCCCCTAATTTTCCAGGCCGGAAGGACGGAATGTCCAGCGGCAAGGGAGGATCGATGCACATCTTCACTCCCACGTTCTTTGGAGTGAGTGAGACTACTCTCGGCTTGCTTGAAGTGGAGGCCCAGTCTGGACGAGCTGACCCCTTTTGGAACTCCTTTGTGTTTTTTTTTTTTTTCTTGATCAGGGAAATGGGATCGTTGGTGCCCAAGTACCCGTCGGAGCAGGCATTGCACTTGCCCAGAAGTACTTGAACCAGGACGACAAACACGCCACCTTCATCATGTATGGTGACGGGGCATCCAACCAGGGACAGGTGTTCGAAGCTTTCAACATGGCTAAACTGTGGAACCTTCCTGCCGTGTTTGTGTGTGAAAACAACCTCTACGGAATGGGTACGAGTGCGGAACGTTCGAGTTCCAACACCAAGTACTTTACCCGAGGTGACCAAATCCCCGGTCTTCAGGTCTGTTTCTTTCCCAACCAATTGGCCTCTCAGCTTAAACGAGCTCACTCTTAACTTGGGTGAAATAGGCCAACGGAATGGATGTACTTTCGGTGCACAATGCGTGCAAGTATGCCAAGGAATGGACAACATCGGGCAAGGGCCCTCTGTTGCTTGAGTTCATCACCTACCGATACGGTGGCCATTCGATGTCCGACCCTGGGACGACCTACCGAAGCCGAGAGGAGATCCAACACATGCGCAGCACCAACGACCCGATCACTGGCCTCCGCAACCGATTGCTCGAGTGGAACGTGATCGAGGAGGCCGAGTTGAAGGCCATTGATAAGCAGGCTAAGGCTGAGGTCGATGTGGCCGTCGAGGAAGCTAAGAAGAGCCCCGAGCCTAACCCGGAAACTGTGAGACCATCATCTCGCTTCCAATTGGACACTTGCTGAGCTTGGATATCTTCTTCCCTTCTAGGACATGTGGACCGACATCTATTACAAGGGCACCGCTCCTAAGTGGATGCGTGGACGCGAAAAAGAAGAAGTCCATCGCTACAAACCGGAAGAGTGCAAAGGTACAGATCTCATTACTTTCCTCATATGTCCGTTCACAGTCACTGATCTGATCTATATCTGCACAGACTTAATGTAACTTGCCCCCCCCGGCCCGTTGCCTTGAGAGAATCGGCTGTCGAGTTTGTTTGGCCCTTCATGAATAATAGCCTCTCTCTTTTTGTTTTGTTTCAAAACAAAGAGCCCCCTCCCCTCAAAAAAAGAAAAAAAAGAAAAAATACTACTTAGATACACAACGCCCTCCTCACTTATGGGAACGGCACCGTTTTTTTCTTGTTTGCTTAATCCCATCATCTTCTTCTTTCACTGCTACTACTGCTGCTATTGCTTCTCCTTGTTGTTTCTTCTATGAAGTAAAGAAATTAAATGAGATGTCTTGGTCTCTCTTTCTCTCCCTCTGTCCCGTTTTTTGATCAGAAGAGAGTTTCCTAACCCCCACGACCATCATCATCATTGAGGAGCTCATGAGTTACGGTTGGTAAACAGTGTTCTTATTGAGCTCAGGTCTTGGAAATAATCCACTTGATTTGTTTATTCTTGGGTAAAAGCGTATCGGATGGTTCTTCAAGTGACCGCCAAGTGGTACATAATCATGGCATGAAAAAATTGGGCGGCGGGTTGGAACCGACATGGGTACATGAAAAGCATCACACAAGAGTGTTCAAGGCATATTTCGAATGTGCGCATACATTCCCCTAAATAGGAGCAGAAAGAAAGAAAGGAAAAAGCGCATGGTGATCGATCTTTAATCATTTAAAAGAGTCTGGGAAACCGGTGACTGACTAGGTAGTCATGACTAAGCAACTCCCGACCCCCCCAGTCAGTTGGCGCATATTACAAGCCAGCTCTCGCTGGGGAAAGAGCTCCTTCACCTTCATGATGAGCTCCTACGAGGCCCGATTCCCTAATGAGAATTTCTGCTGAGCGTCCTGGCACGTTATCGCAAGACCCAACTCCCAACTCCCTGCTGTGAGCGGCGTTGACATGGCGAGTGGCCGGGGCAAGCGTGCTTGCCAAGTGCCGGGAGGCCTCGCCGTACACCTTTTATACTTGCCGAGTAGCATTCTTCCTCGGAAACTGACCTGGGACCTTACCTCTTGATAGAGAAAACACTTTCTCGGAAGCTGATTATCTACTCGGTAAGGAAGATTCTATCCCGGCGAAGGGTGACACCTGTAGTGACACCAGCTTGGTACCATATCATCGAGAAAAACTCATCCCCGACGCGCATATATGCGCACCTACTCTCTGCCGGCGAGCTCGTAGTGGTGCATACATGCATATTACCACCTGGCTCTGGAGAAATTCTCCTGGGTGAATATGTCCGCTGGCGGGGAAGGAACTCTCCGGCCAAACGGCGAATGGAATTCGATCGAGAAGAACTCAGCAAGGTCGATCAAGCCCAACATGATTTATTAGAGTGTTCGTGATGGGTTCGTTAGGATGGATTGAATGGGATGTTATGGGTTACCGAGGCTGCTTGTCCCGAAAAGCCTTATCCTACATTATATCCTCATCCTGGAGATTGATTCGATTCACGTCATCTGTAAGCCTCGCATGCACGCGTCGCAGTACAAAGACTCGCGCAAGCCATCGACCGCAGGCTTCATGACTATATATGCCGTAGGTATCCAAGTCACCGATATCCTGGGGCTCTGAGCCCAGTCTCGACTGTCGACTTGGCCGTGCAAAGGTACTTATCATCGCAAGTCATCTGGCTTCCATCTGACTTGTGCGCGCGAGTGGCGCTCATCTCCGACCACAGCAACCAGACGCCTCCTGCAATTGATCCGCCGTTCAGTCGTACACTCCTTCTTATCCAAAAGGCCCTATGCTAATCTTTCTCTCCGCCACTCAATATCGGAGAGAAGCAAGTCGTCAAGCGCGCTGCTCAGTCGGCGCGTAGAGCTCAGCTGGCCTGCTTGGAGAACTGGCCGTCGGGAAGGCTCCCAAGCATCCTTTTTGCATATAAAAATCCAGTGCCTGCAACCATTCCTGCCCTTTTCTTCATCCCCAGAACCTCCTACCAACTCACACTCACCACACCTCTTTGAATCCTAATTATATCACTCAGGTGGTAACTACTTATTAGCCTCATCCCTTCATTACATTAAATTTATCGAGCTTCACAGCTAGTAAACCTATAACTTGCCCTGAACACCCTATCTCTATTACCTGGTGCGTGACTCTTGTCCTTATATATAATATCCACATACTCGCCGAGAGATCCTCGAGATTTGGCCGGTGTTGACTCCTTGTTTTATAATCGTCTAGTCTGCCCAAAGTATCCTATTCAGAATTATTAAAGTCGAGATGAAATTGGCATCGACCTTGGCTACTGTGATCGCCCTTCTCGGGATCTGTAAGCAATTTATGCTTGCTCTAGTATTTCCCCAGCATGATTTATTGAAGTTGACCAGCTTTTCTTTCTTGCGCCCCACATGGGTTTTTCTTTCTTTGACCTTATGTGTACATTTAGTCGAAGGGGTCAGTGGAGTGCCGGTTTGGCCGCCAATGAAAACCGAGGCGCATGAGCAACACTTTAACCCGACCTCGGCACCTGCTTATCCTGAATATGAGTCCATGTTCAACTAGAACTTTGTATCGGCCTCGAACATTCTCCCCTCTCTTGCTCCCCTTCATTTCCTCTCCCGTCCTTCGGATTGAACTCCTCTCATTCTCCAAAGAACCGTCTACATTTTTATTTCTATCTTATTTACCTTCCACTTTGTCCTCCTCCTTTCTTTCTTCAAGATTTTTTTTTCTTAAATATTATTCATGTTGTACCTACCTTCATTTTCTAAATCAAATGATCTCAACACGGGTGTTTTGATTTGTTAATTCTATTTTCTTCCACCTAGAACTCATGTCTCCTTCGACCGAATTATTATTTATTTATCCACTGTGGTCATGGACTTGAGATGTAATATCATTATTGGATTGTTTTCTTTTTTTTTTCTTGATTCAAGACCGGCAATAAATGTTATGTGAACTGCCGATTTGTGCGCCCACTAGAGTCTAAGAAGGATTCGACACTGGTTACAAAAACTTTGGATAACCGATTTTGTGATGATTGATTTTTGTTTCTGTGATGAGGAGGCTGTGAAGGCAAAGACTCGAAGACTTCCCTCAAGTATCTTCCATGTGCGAATCTGTCGCAACGCTTCTTGCGACTGTCTGCTTCAGCGGAAGAATGGCCATGAGATCCTGCGCATTTCATCACGGCCTGGCTCGACGATGAAGCCCACTCATACATTTCCCTCCCAGCCGTCGAAACGGTTCTAGGGAGAAGAGCAGGGAGCCTAGCACAAGTCTGTCAAGTTCCTCCCTGCGGCCGGTGCAATGCGACGAGGCTAGGCCACTCCGCAGGGAAAGGTGACTTGCATTAAGTTGGAATGGGCAGACATTTATTGACTCCCGGTTACAGAAACAGCCTGTTTTGAAGACCTGATGAGTATTTTTTAGTATGTATCAAGTTGTGATTTTTTTTTTTTATTTGGATGATGCCCTGGGGCCCTGAGGCCGAATCCCTTATGGGGGGGGGGGGGGGTGCTGAGGACCCCTGCGGCTGATTGAGCTAGTCAAACTCTCTAATTATTGTGTTTGAAGAATAGATCAAATTTTGGTGCACAAAGTGTTTAATTGAAAAGTGTTTAGTGATTTTCATTTTGCACAAAGTAAGTCAGTTATTTTTACAGCTGAGGGTTCTGGTTTCAACCATCCTTTTACTCCTGAGGCCATTCATGAAAAATCCTCCAAAAAATCCCAACCCCAACATAGGAATTATGTTTGGGACCTATTTAAAATATTTTTTAGTGACAGGATGAGGTCTCAAGATAAATGTTGACATGATCAAAAATTGCAGTGTATCTTATTGCCTGGGCTGTTGTAGGTTTCACCCATTCATTGTCATGTCTCATGACACATGCCACATTTAAGCAAGATTCAATATGCTCAAACACGAAATCAGGTATATATGGGTAACAGCAATTCAGAAATAATATAGATGTATCTTATTAGCTGATAAAGTGTATTTAATTGCTGTTCCAATTAAGGACCTGTATCATAGCACCCCAGCCAATTTTCATTTTCATTTTTGATCTTTTTTTCCAACCGGAATTTGTTTTTGGGGTTGGCCTGTAAACACAAATTTTCGAAATTACGTGTTGTGTTGGGGGACCAGTCCTCTGGTAGCAGGCTTCCCATGAAACCTGCAGCCCCAGTACAATTCAATTCGTTCATTCTGGCATCTGCTGAAACTAACCCTGGAATTTCAATGTGACCTGAATTTCACTCACCTAATTTGTGTATGTTACCACATTCCTCCAACACCATATTTACACAGCCTCTCTGGACAATATCACTCATCCAAAATCCCAAAAATTTACATATTTAAAGTGGTTCCTTTCCCATCTAATTCCCCTTTATTTCAGGAATTACAAACCAGATAAATTCCACAATTAGATAACCATTATCTGCTGACACACAAACACAACAAAAATCAACCTGTCCAGTATCTCAATAAAATCAATGCAGTTGATGAAGATCTCTACACTCCTTTTTATAATAATCTCAGGGTATATTCTGGAAGAAATCCACACCTACCAAATCACTACCAGAGGTTCTGTAAATGAATTAGATGATATAAACCATGTGAATAGTCAAGAGGTGGGTGGATGCAAGTGTGCAAGGCGTCATGCTTGTCCAACATGTGGGAAATGCACGCGCTGTATTCCAACACATTGTGATCCACCAAACCCCCCTTGACCAATTCATTACATTAAACCCAGTAAGTGAATTGCTCAACTTCAGTTTGGCTTCATATTTTGCTATCTTTTCCTATTATATCATCTTTCCACCTCTTTCTCTAATCTTTTCTCAACATCTTAATTATGAAAAACCCAGAAATTTGTCTTCAATATTGATCACCTCTATCTTGCTGATTCTTATTCAACTCAAACCTTAACTAGACTTGCTTTATTCCTTCCAGGTGAAATTGCCTTCAAGGATTTTTATGCTCCCCTCTTATAAACTAGATCATTCCTCTTCTTTGCTTTCTTCCCTCTTGCCTATTCAATTTTACTCATCTCAAAACTGTCATAAATTGCAAGATGTCCAAAACTGGGTCATTTCAATCTCCACTTCTCATCTGATCTAGTGAATTTGAGCCTGATGTTTTTTTCTTCTATTTCAGTTCTATTCCTCCACCCCTTCAATGGTCCAAATTCTGAAGCACTCCTCTCTGTAAAGATTATTTCATCAAATCAAATCATCAAGATATTAGTTCAAATGATTCTGAATAGATCTTACTTTGAATACCACCCTTTTTTGGAAGGAAAACATGGATTTCAGTAATCAGAATTCATTGGAATTTCTGTCTCATTTCTTCTCATCCCCATATTGTTTCCTACCCCAAATCTCACAGATTAATCCCCTTATCATTTTTTTATCCCCACAGCGTATTCTATTACCACTGCTGATAATTTTTGCTAGCCTTAGGGATTATCAAGCCCTATTCTGCTGCTCATCTTGTTGATTAAGCTTGATAAATCATCCATGTCATTCTTAAAACTGGGTTTCTTCATCTCTTTATTATCCAATAGGTTTCAGGCACAGCTTTGCCATATATTGGTTTTCTTTCACCCCAAGTTGAGAAAATGGTTACCATTCTGGCTGCAATACAAGAAAGTTTATTTGAGTCACAGGCTATAAAGCTCCTGGTACAGAAAGAAAAATTGTGGACCCCTTCAGGTAAGCTGGCCTCAATAAAGCCGACCATATGTCTATTTTATGAAAAGCTCTTGTATGCCTTTCCTCCAGTTCCTGTTTTGTAAATTCAGCACTAGATGTAACAAATCCAGTTATTTTTATCACCAAGTCCCAGAACTTTCCTTGGTGATTGTGCCTTGGCAATTTTGACTACGCCTGTAAAAAAATCTTTGTCCAGATATCAGACTCAAAAGAAAGAAAAATCAGGTTTTGAAAAAAAGCAAGGCCACAAGGGCATCAATGTGTGTGGGTGACCATGATTGGACGTTATAGTGTGTTTGAACTTTGCTGAAAGAAGATGATTTTTTCAAAAGACAAATTCATTCTTGATGTGTTTGGGGGAAGTAGAGATGACAGTATGGATTGATAGATATAATGAGTCTTTCAAATCATCCAAACATGCTCAATCAAAAACATGAGTTGACCACTAAATAGTTGATATGTAGGTCACATGATCATTCATAAATGATGGATTCTGGAATGTAAGATTCTGCATATGAGCATTTGAATAGTTCCAAAACCAAGCCATGGAAAATTATTGCTGATTTACAAATATTCCACAAGCCCAACAAACTCATTCTTTGGTATCAATATCATCAGGATCAAAAATGGGATACTTCTTTTCTCTTGATGGTTAAATGTTAGAAGGACTCAACATAATTGGATCACTTTTGGATCAAGTTGTACAAATGAATGATAACAAATTACCATATAAGTCAATGGTGAATTTGTCTTCTTTTGCTGGCTAAATGTTGGAAGACCTCCTTGTTGGCTAAGTTTTGGATCAAGTTGACTATTGTGGTTGGATAGTGAATGGTAATTGGAAACAAAAAAACAATGGATGATACAAAAAAGTAGATGAACACCATCAATTTTGATGATAAGATACAAGGTCTGTTCAGAGATAGGCATAGATTAGAGGAGGATACAAACAAATCTTACAGAGAAAAAAAAGATGCATCATGGTACATGATAGAGGGTTTTGATTTTTTTCCTTTCTGGTGGTATTTATGGGAGAGGCTTTGCCTGATCTCTTGAAAGCTCAGCAGGGCTGATTGCCCTGACAGCTCAAATCTTCTGATAGTGATCACTTCAACTTGTTAATTGCCTGGGAGTGGGATCTGTGAACTCAGCTCAATGAGCCAAGTTTACTCAATCATTGATCTATTGATCATACCTAGAGATGGGCGGGGATAATCCGCCGCGGATATCCGCTATCCCCTGGCGGATACCCGCTAGGGCCAGCGGATACCCGCCAGAGGGTGCGGATTCGGCTGCGGATGCCCGTTTTTCCGCCCAGACCTGGCGGATATCCGGGTATCCCAAGGGATACCCGGTGCCAAGAGAGGCCATACCGCCGGGAGGGATTCCTTCCGACGAGCTGGTACACAATCCAGCTTGCCGGGAGGGATTCCTTCCGACGAGCTGGTATCTCATCCAACTGGGTATGAGGTGGGATATCCGGATATATGCCAGGTCTGGCCGGAAAAACGGGGCGTCCGATGCCGAATCAGAACCCTCTGGCGAGTATCCGCTGGCCACTAGCGAGTATCCGCCAGAGGATAGCGGATATCCGCAGCGGCTTATCCGCGCACATCTCTAGGTGAGATCAATAGATCAATGATTGA